TTCTTGGTCTCTGTCCTCTTCTCACGTTTCCTTCGTCCTCTTTCTCTCTCGGTCTAGGAACACTCACTGGTATGCTGTTGATTTCCTTAACCATGGTTTCTTCTCCTGCAGGATTCTCTACAGCACCATTTCTGTCTGAAAAATCAGTTTGACTGCCAATTTCTCTCCTTTCGATTAACTCCCCTATTCATTGAAAAAATATTAGCTCAGACATAACCTCTCCTGTTTGATATATTTTCAAAATTTTGTTTTCTTCTGCCATCTATCCATCATATGTCTTTCGGCTCTCCTGAAGCACCGTAGATGAAGATGGACCTCTCCCTCACTTCCTCCCATGCTTTTTCCCTCCGCATCTCAGGTTTCTTTATACATAGCTGATTACCTCCTTTAATAGTTCCTGACCTCCGTGGTGGCCATGAATCGTACCTCTGCATGGGCGGTCTCCTTTGCCAGTGCCCCTTCACGTAATGCCTGCTCCACCTTCACATACTGCTGTCCATGTGTCACCAATCAGCATGCCCCATTTCGTTCCAAGATTCTTTCCTGTGACCTGTGGGCCTCAATGTAAGTTTTGTTTCCTTCTTTCTTTGGGCCCCTTCATCTTCAGGATCGTGATTCCCACTTCTTTCTCTGTCTCCATTTCTCACATTTTCGTGAAAGCTCGCTAGTTTCCTTTCCCACACGTTGGTCACCTTTCCATGCTCTTTTGTCCATCTTCTTTCCCAGTCCCATCTTCCTCTTGCCCTGATTCTCCGACTTCCCCTCTGAGACCTCATATTGCATTTAATATGTGTGTGTGTGTGTGTGTGTGTGTGAGTGTGGGTGTGTGTGTGTGTGTGTGTGTGTGTGTGTGTGTGTGTGTTTGTGTTTGTGTGTTTGAGTGTGTGTGTGTGTGTTGTGTGTTGTGGTGTGTGACATGTGTGAATGTGTGTGTTGCCCCGTGGGTGTGAAAGATGGAGAGAGAGGGGAGAGAAAGGGAGAGGGGGAAGTAGGGTGTGTTAGTGTGTGTAATTGAGAAAACGAAAGGGAGAAACAGAAGGCAAAGAGTAAATGAGGTGTGTGTAAAAGGAAAGCGAGGGAGATAGGGAAGAAGAGAGCGAGAAGAAGAGAGAGGAGAGAGAGAGAGCGAGAGAGAGGAGAGAGAGAGAGAGAGAGAGTGGAGAGAGAGAGAGAGAGAGAGAGAGAGAGCGAGAGAGAGAGAGAGAGAGAAGGGGTAATTAAGGAAAGAGTAATTGGGCCACCCTTGCTCGACTCGCCACCATCGATTGGAAGCTCTATCTTCAAGGGGACGTCTGACAGAAAGTGAAATCTTCACTGGATACATCTTTAATCACAACAGGAACATAACCCTCACCGGCAATATGTTGACGAAGTCTAGGAGATCAGCCACAGGATGGCTTTTGGGCTGTGAGCGCTGCACTGCAAGTACAAGGCATGGTGGAGGTATATAGAGACATCCTACCACCTAATACAGGAATTTACGCAGCCAATCGTGGCAAGCATATGGATACGTTCAAAAGTGGGGCCATCGCTAAATAGAAGTGGACACAAAAAGGAAAGCTAGCATCGGGTAGATTAGGCATCCCAAAACCTGGTGGTTCCCTGGTAAAGGACAGACAAGGTTATCTGCCTGATGACTCATCCACTCTAAACGACCGGATTGTACTTTCTCTACTAATAGTTAAGAGAAAGCAGACCTCTTTGCCGAACACTTTGCTACTACAATGCAAGTCCTGATCCAGCAAGGGACCCTCCATGCTAGCTGCAAGAAACTGTGTCAAAGCTGTCATTGTTGACAATAAGGCAGGAGAAGGTGCAATTTCCTTCTGGTGCAAGTGTTCCACAAGTAAGTGTGCTGGACCATTGTTTATGGAATGTCTACTTCAATGACTTTCTTCATTTCATCCCAGAATCCTATGCATATGCAGACGACTGTACTCTGACATTGCACTTATCCAAGAGAAGAAACTCCATGCTGCTCTAAGCTACATCAATCACCAGCTAAGAGCTCTATCAGCTTGGGAAAACCGATGGTGAGTAGCATTTGCACCAGAGAAAAACTTAAATATTGATGGTCCTCATCAAGGCACCATTACGGTAATGCTGTGAGCAGTAGTAAGTATTAATGGAGAGTTTGGTACCTGATAAGAGGTCGATATCCTTGGGGTGAAACTTGATGCCATACTTACCATGAAGAACCACGTTGTAAATCGTACCAACAAGGCAGCCAGGAAGCTTACAGCAAATCGCCGTAAATCGCAAATCTGCTTGAAAGTAGAGGTTGCACCGATTCTGTATGAGGCACATTTACGCTCACCAACCTTGAGTAATGCCCAGTTTTCTTGGTTCGTCGCACTGCCCCCCATCACACTGCGACTGCTTGACCAGAGTAGAGAACAGAGCAAGACGTCTCATCTCTCGCACTGGATCCACTCCTTGGATACTTCTGTCAATTCCAGCAGAGCCTTTAACACAGGAGGGATGTGGGCGCCTTACTGTTATGTAGAGGGCCAATATTGTCAAAGTAGCACACTTTGGGTCCCTCATGGATCAGCGTGAAGCAATTTTCTATAACCACAAACGGGCAGAAAGCAGCAACTTTCACTCTGACGTTACCTTTCTGCAGAACATTACTTCATCGAGAGTCATTTATCCCCAGGATGAGCTCGAGTATGGAACACAAATTAGTACAGCATTAAGATGTAAACGAGAATAAAGTCAAAACCTGGACCACAACTTATCTAAGGATAGCAAATGCAGATGTCCCTATGAGAAAGGGCATGGACACATGGTTCGTCTCACATCTGGCTAAAAAACAAACATAACCTCACACTACTAAGAAGTGCAGCAAAGCAATTGCAAAGACTACAGACCAAATAGCACTAGACATCCCACATAAGGTCTCAGAAGCAAGATCGCCACCCAATCTACATACACATCAGTACAAAATGCAGGGCAGCACTGGGTTTAGAGCAGGCTCGCTCATTTGGTTTTTTTAATCTGTCGCCAGGCTACTGGACCACTATGAACAAGGTCTTGGATGCTCTAAATTCAAACGAAATGCACATTAATATACACAGATTTTGCAAAAGGATTTGAGAAGTGTTACCACGGTGAATAACACACAAAATACTTGATAAATGAATAACAAGACAAGTTGATAGATGGAACTATAATTTCCTAAGAAATGCAACACAAAGAGTAATAGTAAACTGAGTAAAGTCTGAGGAGGCTACGGTGGCAAAGCTCTTCCATGAAGCACAGTACTCCCCACCCATCTTGTTTTTCCCTCATACTGAAATATGACATAGACAGGGACATTAGCCACAGCATCGTGTCTCTTTTTGCCAGATCACCCCAAATTTCTTGACAATGTCCTCCGCTGTAGACACAGCAAGACTGCCAGGCAAACATCAACCAAATCTTTAAACTTCGATGAAAACAATATGAAATTCAGTGATGATAAATTTTAATTTACACTGAGTGGAAAACATGAGAAAACTAAAACTAAATGGAAAATAAATAATTCCACAACAACAACCAATTGAGCTAAAAGCCATGTAAAAAAAAAGAAACTTGATAGAGATCTAGTAGTAAGATTCTCTAAGACACCAATTTAATATAAGAGGTTCTTCCCTCGAGTATTATACTGTTCCTATCTTGGTTTATCCTAGGTGGACAACCCATAATGGTTAAAAAGCAGAAAAAATATTCTATGGTTGAAACAATACGTGGCTGTGATAATACTTATCTGTTATCAGTACGTTCCAACCATACGCAGGTTCATTAAAAAATTCCGAAATTTGTAACATCGGCTGGTTGGTGGCCGCAACCCCCTTGTAACCCGCGTCTCGAGGCCTAGGCCATGGAAGGCTTGAGCTGAGGAACACACGGTGCAGGACTCCCCATGTTGAGTGGGCGTTCCGCAGTAAGTTTGGATTCAATATGTCGCTCCATGGGAACCTGATGGCGTCCCTTGTCTAATGAAGGTTGATCCGGGCCAGGGGGGAAAACTCAGCAGCCAAAGCACCCGTTCGAGGCAGTAGTGGGATTGCGCCGTGAGTGGGCGCCTGTAGCATTCTTAGCCAATATAGGCGACATGGTCTTTTTTAAATCATTTTTTTCCTGTAGTAACATAACTTGTATCCAAAAAAAAGACGCCCCTCAATAAAAAAAACTCACTAGAGAGAGTAGTTACCAGACCATTTTTTTTATTTTGTTACATAAATTTTACAGTTAAGTACTGTTATTCCTACCTCAAAGCCCATTTCCTGGGAAAACAAGGAAGAATAGATGCCTCAATGTCATTTTTAAGGAAAAACTTCCTTCAGGCATCCCAGAATATGATCCTTCCTTCCATTTCCCCAATGTCGCCATATGAACATCCCAAACTTCTCGAAGACGGCACGTAGGTCTGCCTCATTAGCCTCAAAGGGTACATTTCTTATCTTCACCCACGTATAATGGGGGACACATCAATGTAGCCTTACCGTCACTGCAGGATTCACTGGTACACAAAGATCTTGGAACCTGGCGACTATGTCCCTCATATACACTTGCATTGAGAAATTTCACAAAAATTCTATATGCCCCGTTCAAGGCTACACCATACAGCTCTTCGTTGGCAATGCCGTATGTGTCCCTGATGATGGCAGGTAATAAAACTTGAGCTGAGTGGGCATGCACAGCCCCACGCACCACTTCTATGCCGACAGTGTTTACCCTTCTTCTTGCCGGCTGCGCCATTTTGAGAAAACCAAGTTGTCACCGGCTGACAGCAGAGGGCAGGCTCAGCTCACGTCCGCTCGTCCCAAAGGTTGAGCGACGAAATGACAGAGTGTTATTTACACAGTCCGAATGTTCAGTCTAGCGTTCCTGAGGGGAGAGAAGACTTACTCAGTGTTCAGGAATTGACTGCAACATCCTGGATGAGCTATTTCAGCTATTTCTGCTGTGACCATTTGGATGGTAGGACTGGATCTACAAGAGGCAAAGCTGCCTTAGTAATTATCTTGTGACCGCTTGTAAGGCAGGGGTGGGGCTACAGGAAGGACGGCGTCCAGGGGCTGGTAACCCCCGTGGTCAGCCAAGAAGGTAATGTGAACAGGCACTCCATCAGGGGACGTGTATCTCAGAAAACAACTTTTCGTTAACATACATTCATTCAATTATAATATTCAGAATATGTAGTATATATTTATTAAATTAGCATAAATCATGAAATACACGGATAATACACTTCTAAGTAATGTATCCAAAATGTATCCACTTTCATTCTATACTTGTAAATATTCACCTCTACCACCTGTTTTCACCAAATTTTCGGGACTCTACCTGGAATAAAATTCTACAAAATGTACGTACCTCCAGCCACCCTTTGTTATCTGGCCGTCGTTCTGGCTGCCGTACTCCTGCCGTGTAATGCCGTCGCTGGTCTCGTACTGGAAATTATACTCGCCATAGCCGTTCTGTGTCCTCTCGTCCTTCAGGATGTCGGCGCCGTTGACTGACTGACCAGACTGACCGTAGGTGGGGCGAGGACCGCCAGCTGTCATGGCGACGAGGACAACAAGCACCTAGACGGTTTAAATAAAATGACCTGTTTATCGTTTGATAAACGCGAAATGAAAATGCTTGTAATGAAAAATAATATTTGTATAATTGCATTTAACCATTTTTTTCCAGCTTCTGCTTGTCTTACTAAAATTCCTTCCATATTAAGCACATATATATTTACTAAACATCAACTTAATTTTTTTATATATTTTATTTAAAAACTTTACAGCTTAATATTAAATAAAAAGATATAAAATGAATACAGTGGATCCTCAATCCTACACAACATACACTAACAAATTATAACAACACATTGTAATTGACATAAAAGAGGTTACCCATATACACTCACAAATTTTCAATATAACATACTACTACAATATAAATAATAATAAACTATATAAACCTTTTAGATTTATATAGTTAACATAATATGACTGACATATGACAAAGGCTCACAACCTTCACAGTAGACAATCAGAGGAATGACCTACATCATAATCTCATTAAAACATTACATGCTCTTCCCAAAATTAACCCCCTATACAATAAAAATTACCTAAAAACATACATACGTGCCTCACTACAATCCCTCTTTAATCATTGAAAAAAAAAAATTTAAATCTTAAAGCCTCCACTTATACTAAATAAACATTAATACATCCTCTTCCATCGGCTGAGCACATTATATACAGTAAAGAGACTAAACCATACCTTCCCCATTACAAAATTTTAATTTTTTTTTTTTATTTAAAAAGTACATCACAGCAGATAAAAATAACAAAACAATACAGGCCTTATTTGTCAACAAATGTAATAAACTTTCCATGGCCATATAATACCACATACAAATATAATAATTATACATCATGTAACAAATATTATCTAATGAAAACACAAACAGTAACCAAAGTAAGGAGAGAATTGATACATACTTCCGTACTAACTACATCAAAAGTAAAACCAGATATTCTGTACTATGACTTAACGTCATAAGGTACTAACTCAAAAGAGTTACAGTATGTTACATACCGTAACCCTGCAAACTAAACCCCCCCTTCCCCAGACAGAACCTCCCCCTATCTGAAAAGTGCAACATAAAATCAGAACCACAAGAGTACACAATAAATTAAGTTTTTTTTTTTTTTTTTTTTATATTTTATTTAAAAAACTTTACAGCTTAATATTAAATAAAGATATAAAATGGGTACAGTAGGATCCTCAATCCTACACAACATACACTAACAAGTTGTAACAACACATTGTAATGGACATAAAAGAGGTTACCCATATACACTCACCAAATTTTCCATACAACATACTACTATAATATAAACAATATAAACTATAACTATATAAACTATATAAAATGTAAATTATATAAACCTTTCAGATTTGTATAGTTAAATACTGTGATGCAAAAAAAGGTTGAAAACCCTTTCCCACATATATAATAAAGGTAATAACCTACACCCACAATCTCATTTTAAAAACAAGTACATGCTTTCCAAAATTTAAACCCCCCTATACAATAAAAAATTGTTTTTTATTTTATTGAAAACTCTGGAAAAAAAAAAAATTTAGGGGTGCATAAAAAAAATTGCAACGAGATACCAGGCCTAACTAGTTTTTATATAAAAAATCTAAAGTCAAAACACAGGAAAAAATAAATATAAAAATAAACAATGTGACAAAAAAAAGCACACAGAATTACACACAAAAACCCAAGAAAATCACTATTATACAAGGGGATATTCATTTGGTTTTACTAGGCGGGGTTCCCGCTCCCAAACCACAACGTACCCAAGATTTTAATCTAAGAATCAGGTCCCTTTTTAAAGTGCACAACAATAGTTAATTTGGGCGACTCCACGGGGTTATTATCAGGACTAAGAATGGCCTACATTTCAAAGGTGGAAGGATGACGTCCCATTTACTACAAGAATATCTAATATAACAAAAAAAAAATACACTGTGATATTTGACTTCTCAAAAAAAACACAAATCCGAGCTATAAGTGAACTTATACCTGACGAGATGCAAAATTAAAAAAAATACTGCCTCCAAATAGTTAAAGCCCATCACAGCTTACAGGAAAACAAAAAACTTGCAAATACATAATTATTGAAAAGCCCCCGGGACCGGCAAAAGTATAAACGGAAATAAGAAAAACGTTTCAACTTTTTGGGCTGGGAAGCCCCATATACAAAAAGTACACCAAGTTGAAAATTGAGGCATAAAAAGACGGGGGAAAACTTCCTAAAAGTTTATACACAAAGCACGTAAGATATTTTGTCACACCGTTACTAGGAGACGCACATAAACTCGAGAAAACAAAAATTCACGCATTTGACAAACCAATTAACACAGCGACCCCCGTTAGATTACCCCACTGAAATCACAACTACTCAAATTCGTAACTCCAAGGCTTTTTTTCGGGCGGGAAGTTCTCTCCCATCCCCTATTCCAAAAACTTTTCGACATTTTGTCCTAAAAATGTCCCTCTAACACCCTAATTCTACTGTTCCTCAACGTCCCCTCATAGCCATGACACGAAAAATAATGGGCCACAACTACGACACCCAGTTGTACACGCAAAGTCAACCCACCTACATAAAAAACTCAACGCCCGGAGTACCGACAAACCTCCCCCCTCCCAAAAACGCAAAACCCTACGAACCACTCCGTACCATCCTAAAGTCTCACAGAAATACACAACATGAAAAGCGATTCCTCCATCCCGCATCCCGGACAAACCCCAGTCTTCCTCCAACCCTTTTTATACAACACCACCCCAGACGGCAAAGTTTCATGTAAAAATTTAAAAACCATTTCCCCGTACTTGAAGGGGCCCAAAGTTGAACTCCCCTCCATATATCCCCCCACGCATACATGGGATAATTCCTTAAACTCGCAAAGATTACCTCATCCCGCCCTTTCTAAGGTACATAATTTTACAAGCGCACCCCTATGTTCAAAATACCGAAGCATCGCGTCCCCCAAAATTTAAATTCCCCCCTCTCCCCCTGCGCAGGTGTGATACAATTCGCTTAACCCGCCGCACCCCCCCAGTCGGGGGGAAAAAGACGCTTCACGTAAATGCCCCTGACCAGCCTCTAGAGGAATGGACCCAACCCCCCCTGAGCAGTGGTTCTCCACCCCCGCTCTTTTGGCCAATCGCATCCCGAACCCCAAAAAATCGATAAATTCTTGCAAAAGAGTTTGCGTCCCCCCCGCAACGAGGATACAGTGCAGCAAGTCCCTACTTTGCTATAAAGCAGGGAAATTTAAGACCCCGCCTCTGATGAGGGGTTTAAAAGTCGCGGCCGTAAACTATTTAAGCGTCCCCCAAAACACTATGTACAACCCTCCCCCAATTCACGCCCTCATTGATCAACCCCCATATAAGAATACCACATTAGTGATACGATCAACCCGTCCACCCCCCTGCATCCACCCATCCCCCACCCACTCCCCAACTCCCTAATTTTTGAAATTTTTTTCCCATTAACAACACCCCCCCAGCCTGCCAAATATGTCAACAATCTCCCAACAAAAACCCATTTCTCCCCTGAACTAATAAAAACAGTAGTATCACAACATACCCAAAGGGTTGGTCGACCACTGCTCGGACCCAACGTTTTCTTATTCCCCCCCACCACCCATAAAAAACCTCTACATCAAAAAAAATTTTAGAATGGGGTATTAGAAGTTGCAATGTTCAAAAAACTAAATGCCTTATTTTATTTCCCCCTCCATTGTACCGAAAGGGGGACAGATACCTCTTTAAAAAAATGCCACTCATAATTTTAAAAAACCCTCTTTCCCCCTTAAAAGCGGGTGCCGTTAAAGAAAAAAACCCCCCCTAAGCATTTCCCCAAAAATCCCCATATTTCCTGCCACATAATTGACCCCCCGCAAAAATCTCATATTTTTATCCTTTCTTTAATTTTAACTAATTTTCGAAAGTTATATAAAAAATAAGAAAATTAGGATCCCCAAGAACCAATCACATTTCCAACGCCAACACCGCTAGGAAAGCCTCCCCCCCCTTTTCATGAATTGGGTAAACGAAAAAATAAAGTTCCTATTACCTCCCTTTTTATTAAACAAAAAGGGGTTCCTAATGTGGACCTTCCCCCCATTTATTCCTTGTAGTGCCTCCCCATTGTAGATTTTTAGGGCCCACCATAAAGGGTCTAATCAAACTGTCTCCCTTTTTTAAACCTTACCCTGCTCACTCACGTCTTTACTTTCATTGGATTTATCCAAGTATGACATAAAAACTTACCCTAGTTTTTTAAACCCGCCCTCCCCATTTCCCCCAACTTATCCGACCATAAAACCCAAATTTCAGCCTTTTCCCTTGTGTCTATTTTGTAAGAAAGCAAAAAAGGCCTTTACCCCACAAAGTTCTTACCCCCCCGAAATGCGCGTCCATGAAAACCTTTTTTTCTTCTTGGTTTGTTCTTTAAATAGCGTCCACCCATGGGTAAAACCCCAAGCCTCTCCCCAAACATTGTCGTAGATTCCCCCAGCCCCTTTAAAAAATCCCTCATGGTCCTTACCCGTTCACAAAAAACTTAATTTGAAGGTTAAACCTTCCCCCTGCGAAAATCCCCCCCCTCCCAAAGGGGCATCCCATGACCAAAGAAAATCCTCGTAGTTTTCCCCCCCGCCTTTTTTAGCAAAACCCGATTTCATTTTCCAATCCCTTAAAACATGCGGGAGCCCCCCCCAGTCCGAGTACAAAAACTGGTGGTCGGGGAAAAGCTTTTAATTTCACCACTTGATTAGAACCCCGGCCCCCTTTAAAATGCTGATACCCCCTACGCAAAAAGTATGCTCAATCCCAAAATCCTCCCCTGCGAATCCCAAAAAAACCAGAAACGTCCCACCCAAACAAGCGAACCAACCCCCCCCCCCGGTTCAACTTCTTTACGGCGCCTCACATTCCATCACCACCTAATGAATTTCGGCAGGGGCCTAAAAAATAAAGACATCTCTAAAAAAAATTTTTTTAATGGGGAAACACATGTTCAGCGGCCCAATACCCTACAAAACCAACTCTTACCCCCACCCCAAAATCCCCCAAATGACCCAGCGCCCTCCCCCCTTCTAATTTTCGCACAAACGGGCTGGTCCCTTTACAACACACCACTCCCCTTTAGCTCTGGTGGCACAAAAAATTAAAACCCCCCTTCAAACAAATTTCCCATTTATGGTTATGTTCTGCAAAAAAACACATCCACGCAAACATTCAACCCACTCACGACCTGCACACCTTTTGCAGATTTAAAAAAACCATTAACTTTAAATAGTTACAACCTAATGTGTTAAAGGTGGTTTTCCTCTAGGGCTCCCCCCCCTTTTTCTTTGCCCGGCAAGCCCCCAAGGCACTACCCGCACTTTGGCAATCCCCGTGATATTACCTCTGCCTGGACTGCGCGACCTCCCCGCACCCGTGATTTCCGCAGTTTTTCCCCTGAACGTTGTCCAGGGTCAAAGACTCATCGGAGTCGGACGGGGTAGCCGCACGCTTCCTAGAAACAGCATTTCAACTTGTCGTACGGGGGGTGTTCCCCTTGTGAATTTCTGCCCAAATGGAAAACTCGAACTCTCCAAATCTCCACTTTACTAATTTGATCGCACTCTGCCGTAATTTCCCCTCATCAGAAAAACACAGAACAGACTCTTCGTGCTAATAGGTCCTTAACGCAGAACAATGTGGGTTCCATTCCCCTGCCTCTCTTGCAATAGGGTTTCACTGTTACATTTTCCACCTGTCAAGGGAGGCAAGCCCCAAGTAGAGTCACAAAAGATGACTTAGTACATGGCCCTATCAACCTCAGCCTCCATGATGTCTACGCGGCGATGTTCGCAACCTCCCTTCCAGAGCCTGACGGGGTACCTCACCTTCGGGTCGACGACCACCCCCGTGGGGTGGCGGGGAAACACTGAGCCCCTATGTGATCCAAACGCCGCAGAGGCACAAGTTCTTTCTGTCCCGGGTAGTAAAAGACCCTTTGGGAACGAAAAACTCCCGTTTAATTACGAAGGAAAAACGGCTGACGCGGGACATTTTCAACGTAAATGACCCCCTCCCGAAGGGCCCTTATAGTGGCCTCAGACCACCCACCCCTGGGACCAGGGGGATTTCCCCTAACGTTCAAAAAGTCACGTTACAACTTCATTTGGCCTCAAAAGGCACGTTTCGCACACGTACCCACGTTGTATCGTGAACGTCATGCAAATGGGCAGAAACTGCTGGGGGGGCTTGCTTCTTTATCCTGGTATGGGGCCAAAACTTCTCGTACATTGGGTCACAAAACTTGCGAAGATCGTGTGTTCCATTAAAGGGGACGCCACACAAAAGGTTCACGTTGAATGCCCTAAGTATCACGAATGATTGCTGGCAGTAACACATTTCGATTTGCCGGGTGATGATCCCGGTTTTTGATACAAAAAGTATTAACGCGGCGGGAAAGGTCCCATTGTTGTTGAGTTGTAAACATCCTCCACCCGGGTTTTGGGACTGAGGACACGCTGACAACCGCTCAGCACAACTTGAGCAGAGAAAGAAATTTTAATTAGTCATTACAAATTTTGGGAAATCTTAGCTTCCATCCCTCATAAATGGAGGAGACATTATATAATGCTAAAATAAAGTCGTACACTCGCTTAAAATCCAACACAAAACACAAACAACAAAACAAATTAAAAACCCCTAATTGCGATTTTGATTATCGCACATGAAAATGCCAATAAAGGCTATAAATACAATCTACATAAACCCAAAAACTCGAAAGGTCTACACCTATAACCTTTCTCTTACACTTTAAAACTTAAGGTCATGACGGGCCCCGCAACCAAACACAGAAATTTTCCCTCGTTTTTTACGTAATTTAATTGTATCATCACCTTTTTTCTGTGCCACTTGCTGCTATATACTTAGCCACACATCTACACCTTTTATACCCACATACATCTCACTCTCACCCCTCCCCAGGAGGCGACCCCGCTGTGTCCCCCTGAATTCCCTCTTTTCATATGTAATCCCCAAACCCCCACCCTTTACTCGCTCAACCCAAGTCATAGATTCATGAGAAACCCTAACGTTAACATTCTATAACCTTCCGAAAAATCCTTCTCCCACCTCCTCCCATACAGTTCTCTATTACGACACATCGTACGATAAACCGTTACCGCTAGTACCCGCCTCCGCACCTCAAAATACCCCCTCCCCCTTATCACCCACGATATATATATATAATCCACTATTATATAATCCAAAGCTCTTGTGACACTCTCGTCGAACCCTCCCATATCTAGGCTTAGTGCAAGCAGAACCGACACCCCTCGGCCCCCCACACCCTGTACAACCCTACTTAACCAATACCTAACACCCTCCAGTCCCTCACAAAAGTATACTGCATGGAACGCCGTCTCATCCTCCCCAGAGATTCCACACCTTCCGCCCACAATTACCCCTCTGGTTCTTAGTACCTCCCCGACGGTAGTATGCCATGCAGAAAACGATACGTTACCTCCCTCACCCTAGGCTTTAACTTCAACTTGCTGAACCTATACCAAATGCTCTTCCATGCGTACATGGGGAACAATCCCTCAACTGGTACAACAATCCTTTCTGCAAGCAACCTACACAAAACCTCTATTCGAATTTTCCTGGGTTCTCTAACCAACATCAAAGCCCTCAAAACAGTTTCACATTCCCTTAACTCCACACCACCATACAACTTACCCAACCTATCATGTACTTTTTCCATCTGTCCCCATCCCCCCGCACTCCTTCGTGCAAAACCTCCCATTTAAGAAACACACATTTAATTCTTCTCAGATCCACCAACCCCAACCCACCCTGGCACACAGGTAACATTACAACCTCTCTCCGCAGCCAATCGCACCTTGAACCCCACAAAAAATTAAACACCCGTCTCAGAATTCCCACAATCACCGTCCCTGTTATTGGGAACACGGCTGCCACGTGCCAAACCTTACTATACAATAATACATTTATTACAATCACTCGTTGCATGAGAGTCAGATGATGAGGTCGCAATGCACCCAGATGCCCCAGAATCCTTTTCATCAATCTATTTGAGTTTTCCTCTCGAGCAGCGTCCAAGTCGTCCTTATAGATGATACCACAAATTTTTAAAGACCCCGTGTGTTTCCTCACAACGTTACATCTCGCCCCCCCCTCCACCCAATCACCCAACCCAATGATCATTGACTTCTCGCTATTTACCTGCATCCCTGTTGCATTTCCAAACATTTGCACAATATCATCCGAAACCCCCAACGCCATTCCCTCTCGAACCAGGACTGTTGTAACATCTACATATCCTATTAATCCAGGCCACACTTTCCCGTCCTCCCCCACACCCCCACTCGTGTTATATACACAATATTCAACCATTCTATAGAAGGGGTCCTGAATGCACGCAAACAACATTTGTGACATGGGACACCCCGGCCTAAGTCCCCTACCCATTACAATCTCTTCCCCCAAGCATTCATTAATCTGTACCTTCATCTTAGCTCCTTTGTACAACGTGGTTACCCAATTAACTATTTCTTCCCCATAACCCTGCCTCCCAAGTATAGCTCCCAATGTTCCCCTTTCCACTCTGTCATAGGCCCCCTGCCAGTCTAAAGCCAACAACACCGCCCTCCCTCCCCCCCCCCTTTTGAATCCACAAAACTTCTCAGTATTCCATGACCTTCAAACATCGACCTTCCAGGCAAACCATACTGTGTTTTCGAAACCACTCTCCCTACCACACATTTAAACCTATTACCCAAGACTTTAGCGAACAACTTATAATCAGCACATAACAGAGATATGGCACGGTACTCCTTGAGGGTGTGCTGCCCCTTACCCTTCTTGACCAACACTACAACTGCTTGTCCCCCATCACACCCTTCTCCTTCATCTGATTTAATAACCTACCCATGAAACTCCTTATCACCTCCCAATGTTGGAGATAAAATTCAGCTGGGAGACCGTCTATTCCCGGTGCTTTGCCCTTCCTCATTCCCCTTAAAGCCAACTCTATTTCCTCTTCCGTTATTACCCCCCCCCCTAAAGCCTTCCTATCACTATTCCCTAAATTACACATCACATACACACCTTCTCTAAAGCCACATTCCCCACCCTCCCACTTGTCCAATACCCTTCACACCATTTATCAGCATATGCTCAGATTCCTTTCGTAGTTTGCATCTCCTGACCCACCCTATAGCCTCCCGCCATCTCATGTACCTCTAATCTCGGAATAGCTGTAACCTGCTGTCTTTGTTTTTGACGTCGCAACACACACGTCGATGACTTGTCTCCCCAAAGCACCTCCTCTACCCCTGCCTGCACCATTACCGCTTGAAACCTTTCATTTTGTAACTCCCTTAGTCTCCCCTTGACCTCGACAATTTCATCCATAGGATAGCTTCTCCCCACAGCCCCCTGCCCATAACAACCCCTTAACCTGTCCTCTAAATAATTGGAAAGTCCATGTTTTAAATCATTGATTCGTTTTCCCACCCCCACATAATATTTCCTAATCCTTTCCTTGGCTACACAATCCCACCATTGCACGACATCTTCCATTCCCTGTGCCTCCTCGCTAAGCTCCTTCCACAGGACAGAAAATTTGCTAACCCCCCCAACATCAAAT